GATCAGAAGCTATCTTCTCATATACTTGAGCATCTGCAAAATCCTGCTCCAGTCAAACAGGAAAGGATTATTATCCTACATTGTTCATCTGTAAAAACAACTGAATGAAGCACTAGCACTTTCAAAAGTAAAATGCTTACACCATGAACATCTTGCATCCACCCAGGAACCCTTTCTGAAAGAAGTGTGATATACTGCTCCATTGCTACCTCCGCACTCATGTTTCCGAGTTGTTGCCAAGCATTCCTTGCACAATGTAAACCAGTTTTCTCTATAAACTTAGTGAAGCATCAGAAGTAATCATAATTATTGTCCATAAAACTACATTCTGGATGCGAAAGCTTAGTGTGATGCCATTCAACTCAATTTCTATGAGTTAACAGTACTAAAAGTTTATTCATCTTGAGCCTGAATATACTCTGTAGATGAATCGCTTGCACTAAGAAAAGGTCCTTCATTTTCGGAAAATAAGTTCCCAGTTTAGTCTGCTTGATATAAAATGTCATAACAGTTGGAACTTGCAAGTAGTCCAAGAAAAAATCGAAAGGGGGAAGAACATTAAAGGGACTTATCCCTGAGACACATGAACAATGCAATTGGGTATTGTGACTTAACAGTTTCATAAAAATAATTTTTCCTCTCCCCTCTGTAAACTTTGCTTATTCCACATTCATCATGTACCTTGATAAACAAAGTTAATGCTACAAAGTACAATTCTTGAGAAAGTTGCAAAGATTATCGCGTGATAGGACAATCACCAAGTAAAAAGTCTTAAATCAAAGTATCACTATTTCTGGACATGTAGAGAGCTTACACTCAGAGAAACCAATAAGCATATATAAGAACATAATCAAATCAAATAGTACCCACAACACAAAAAAGAGGCAGAAGAGAATTTAGAAGCTACCATTTTGCTCGTGCAGAGACCTTGAATGCCATAGGTTGGGGTTCAAAGCAAGGCCCTCGAGTGGCGATCTTGTGAAGCCCATCTAACCTCGTCTTCACATCACTTCCAACACTTGAACTTCTCTCAGCATTACTCTTAGACCCAACAAACACCACCGCAGCACCAAAAAGCCTCTCCAATTCAGTTCTTTCTATTCCCTCCCAATCATCCTCACCAAGCAACCCCTCCTTTTCCACACCATCTACTACACTCTCTTTGGCTCGATCAGCTTCATGATCACTGCCATCACACTCTGGAAATTTGATATCTTCACTTTCAAAGATTCCCACTTCGTTTTTTGTCAAATCTACCTCAATTTCTCCAAATTGATGCCTCTCAGAACTTTGATCAACCATGTTCTCTGAGCACCCGCATAGACCACCATGCCCACCAGAGCTTTCATCTTCAACACTCTTCTCTGACAAACAAACAACTCCAACTTCTCTGCAAACTTCATATTCATCAGTCTTTGAACCCTCATGTCCCTTCGGCGATCCACAACTTTCATCAACAAAATCTTGAAGTAGCAAACTTTCCTCTTTTGGTTCTTCACCCGTAAATTCCTCAACTTTCACAACTTTTTCAACAAACCCACCTCGTATCTCACTTCTCCAGTCATGAATTTCGGGTTCAAGTGGAGATTCACACTCATAAAGAACCCTTCTTTTCCCCACATGGTCATTAGCATCCCTGCTTGGACACGTAGAAAGAACCAGAGGAAGAACGAAAGAAAGCAAAAAAGCCATCAAGAGAGAAAAAACAACTGTAAATAAAAAATCAGGAAGAAGCTCCATGGCTTTGCAGAGAGACCCAGAAAAGAAAAGAAAAAACAGAGCTTAGTTTCCGATGACGATGATGAAAAAGAGAGAGATAATAAAAGCAATAAGGATTTTGCAGAGCAGAGGAAAGTATATTCTAATTCTACAATATTTTTCTCGTTGCTCAGCGACTGCTGCTTGCTACAGTTAGGTGTCGGTCGGTCGGTCGGTCGGTCCCAGTCCTTCCGAATATAAATACAGAAAAATGAGGTGTGTTTTTTTGGTTTGAGTAAAGTGCGGTATTGGAAAAGGACTCTTCCACTGACCCACAAGTCCGTTCAAATTCAGACCAAAAATAAAAAAAGTCCTTTCAAATACTCTTTATCTTCTTCTATTTTATATATAACCGCCACTACAATGAGGGAGAAACAGTTTGACGGCTTTACCATATTATTTATATTTTATATATTCTTTGAGTGAAGCTGCCAATTTTGCCAAACAATGATCTTGGCTTTGTACATGCTTATTATGGAGGATCACGGATTATGGGACTATTTGTTATTGGAATTTGGAATTTCGTCTGTTTTTGCTAATACTAATTAGTGAGTGTTGACGTGTACAAGTGGCGTAATGCTAAAGAGTTGAGTATGAAACAAGTTGTAAACTCTGACATCTTAAATTTGAAGATGCACAAGTGTAAAAAACATTAAAATTCACATCACATGTAGTTTTCTAGTGATTACATACGCGTAGAGTTTATTTCAAGGCTTTGTACCCTTGAGAGGGTGAGGTTGTGGGATTTATTTACTACCCAATTGGTAATTTTTGGGTAGCCTTTTTTGTTTACTAGAATCAAGAAAAATATAATTATTTAAAAAACAATATAAGGTTCTAGATTATCAAAGTTCATTAAGAGATATTCCTCAACAGTTTATGAAACAAACTCAATTTTATGGGAAAATTGTTTTTTCTTCCTGATCATATATGCAAAATGACAGATCCTGATCATGGAATTTAAAACAAAAAATAAAACATTCCTTCTTTCTCTATGAAACCAATCATGTATGTGTGAATTTGTGGATGGTATTGACGGAATGGAATTTATTAGTGGATATCCAATTTATAAAAATGATCCTACTCACCACCATGTCAATTGATTGGATAAGCTCAAAACTCTGTTTGGTATAAGCTTTGACCAAAGCTTTGGGATTTGTCACAATACGTAACCTAATAAACTTAAATGTATCCATATATATTTAAAAGAATAATGTTTGATGAAGATGATATAGGGCTTGTTTGAGAGTGATTTTATAAAGGTAAATAATTATTTTTTAAATAATTATTTTAAGTGATTTTATGAAGAAGCTTCTCTCATATACTTCTCCTCAGAATCACTTAAATCACTAAAAATGATTATATAAAGAAACACGTGGGAGATCACTTTTCACCAGAAGTAATTATGATCTATTCAGAATCACTCATTGTATGTAAGGCAAGACCCATTGGCAATTATTATTTTTATCATACTTGATTATTTGAAAGTTATAATAGGATGAGAAATTCCAGGGCCAAAAACTTGAATTTGGGTGTTTTAAGACACCTCTTGGGTGCCCCTCAAAAAGAAAAACACAATAGTCCACACCGAATGGGCAATAATGAAGGCATTTGTGGTTTGTAGCCAAATTGGGCCCAGATCCCTACGTGCCGTTCGTGTGAAATAGCATGTGCTTTATTTGTTGGCATACCCAACTGCCTACTCTGGGCAATTGCCACACTTCAAAATGTGGGATTGATGTTTACTTAGCTTTTGCGGCCCCAAGCTTGTGCCAAGCCTTAGACAGCAATTGAATTCAAAATTTCTGAGTTGCTCTTGTTATAATAGGCGCGTTAAATGTGTAATAATTCCGCATTCTTCAGTATTATAAATCTTTTTCGTCCGAGTCAAGTCTCAATTGTGTTGTGGAAGGATATTGGAGGATGAACATAAATCCGATCTGTTGGTTGGGGCTGACAGCTTTGCTGAGACTTGTATTGCCAAAGTTTATTCAACAGAGAGTGAGTATATAATGAGCGACAACACACCAGAAAATAAAGGAGCCCCCTTTTGTCCAGGATCTAAATATTGTTGAAAATAGTTGAATGATGTGTGTCAATGTCATAGCCAAAAACCATTTGCTCAGCAGATGAGGCTTTCATTGATCGGATTTACAGCATTAAGCAAAAATATAAAAACAATCTTGCCAGAGCGAGGTGGCAATAAAGAATATATTCACGGAAATCATGCTTTAAATAATTAATCTTCTATCCAACAAAGTCATTAACTTGACAACCATACTATAAAATCCCATTCAACAATATTAAACTTACAACAATTGCCAAAGGCAGCCAGAGTTTTCAAGTAAATAAAACACTCCCAAATAGCACAAATTCTAGTCCTACATATGGGGCATTATATTATCAAAGCTCTTATGTCCGCATCCTGCTACTTTCTGCTGCCCTCACTTGGGAGAAATATGGATGGCCCTGCAGAAGTGCCAGCATGGCAGTAAGGTTTTCTCATCCCCAAAATATAATGGTAGAAGTTATCAACAGCAAACATGTAATGCATAGAACAGTGCTCACATAAAATGAAACTTAGTGATTAAATTAACAAGGAAAGAATTTGGTGTCACAAGAACCCTTGTTCAGTTTGACTGTAACTAACGGAGAATTACCATTGCCTCTTTTGCAGTTAGCCTGTCTTGATGATCATACCGAAGAAGTTTATCCAGAAAATCAATGGCCTGCATGTCAAATACCTTAAAAATTAATAGCATGTTGGCAATTGTAAGAGTTTTAATTTGTAAAATACATAAAAGGAAGTTTTGATGAAACATAATGTGAATAAACTAAAGAACTTTTTATGTACACATTTCGATGATGGGAGCTCTTATTGGCACTCTAAAAAAGTGATCATGCGCTCCTCCCTCATAATAATATAAGGAGGAAATTGCACTTTCAGAAGGATGAATTTTTTGGAGGGCCAATAACAGTTTGTTTCCAAGAAACATACAATTTACCTCTGGAGAAACTAGATGCTGATTATCTGCATTAATAAACTTCGACCAGGGCTTCCTGCTGTGCCTGCAGTACAGTGTAACAGCACATCAATACACGTACACAGATACTAATTCCACATTATTTATTACTTTCAAAATTTCATTCACATTTATATACTGCAGCACCTTTTTACTTTGTTTGATAAGTTAAACTGCAGCAGTTCCTAGCGGAAGATGGAACCTTTGCATTTGCATGCTAAGATATTTCCACAAAGAATTCATATTATAACAAAATTGACCTTTTACAAGATTACAGAGAATTGGCATCACTTAGAAGAAGAGATTTATGCTGAAAATACCTCCCCACAAGCGCATCAAGTTGAGGATCAAGCTCTAAATGGTATTTGTTCAGATATGCATTCAACTCATCAGTCCCAAGTACCTGGAAATGAATATAAATTACTACAACTCATTAAAAATATATACATATTACATCAGACGATATTGGTTAGACCATATATTATGTATATCACGAGTCATTAGTCCATATTTATAGGTGTGTGTGCGCGTGCATGGGTGCATGCAGATGGGGGTTGATGTGAAACTGCCCTAGATGATACAACACTATCACCTAAGTGAGAGATAGTAATACAAACAGACATCCTTGAGTTTCTCTCCAAAGATATATAGAATATAAACATTCATATAGAAGTAGTTGTAATATAAACAGAAACCACTAACCACTAATTTGTTGTTTCATTCCTGCAGAAATTTCTACCAGTGGCTATAATATGCATACTGATTACAGCATGTCAACCAAAAAAGGACTAGAATTACCTTGGCAATTTTGACCAGTTGGTCATGGTTGTCATGGCCATAAAAGAAAGGTTCCTTGCGAAATATCTACACAAAACAAGTATAATGAGCAAACACACCTGATTACATGCTTTTCTAAACAGAAACACATTAAAATTGGGAATTTAAGTAACTAACACCAGAAACCATCTAAACCAAAATCCAGTAACTGTAATTCTCACCATTCCAGCAAACATACAACCCAGGCTCCACATGTCCAGAGAATAGTCGTAATCTTGCAAATCGACTAGAAGTTCAGGACCTTTAAAGTATCTAGAAAACAAGGAAAGAAATTTCAATCATTCCACAAAGATGAATTAACAGTCTAACGATGCAAGAAAACTCAAAGGAACCATCACAATGCTAAAATCATTAAAGAGACTCTACTCTAGCCTTCCAAATACAGGTACCTATTTTAGCAATTGATTACGCTTTGATTTGCAGATGAAAAAGCATTGAATATGTAGTGCCAATACAGTATATGCATGAAAATAACCAAATAAAAATATTTATTCCTAGCCACCTAAAAATACCTGATCAATACTAACATCAACTAAAGGCTCAAGCAATTCACATTTCAATGTACATGCATGGTCTATATAGGACCCAGAATAGGTAATGATTCTACATTGTTATAAAATATTACCTTGAAGCTACACGGACGTTATATTCCTTTCCAGGGTGGTAAAATTCAGCAAGTCCCCAGTCTATCAAGCGAAGTTTTCGCAATTCATGGTCTATCATAACATTGTGAGGCTTGACATCTCTATGCATTATTCCTTGTGAATGACAGTAATCTAATGCCTGCAATGCAAAGATAATTAACATATGAAAAGGTGCTTACACATTACTAAGATGGTTAGTTTGGAGCTTAAATTCCACAAGTACTTATTAAGCAAACTAGATCCAGACAAGGATGTTGATCCAACATTCCTTAAATACACAACACATTGAAAAGTTGATAGCAGGGCTTTTTCCCAAATAATTAAGGTTGGTTGCACATTGAACTGCATATTATTGAAGCGGGGGTGTGAACCTCTTCCCACGAGGAAATATACCACCATTAAAAGAAATGCATGCAGCACAATGGACCAAAAGCATATCAAAGTAGTTGGCGAAAGTTTTTAGCTTCTGATAACACAAGATCTCAGCTGATATTTGCTATTTCCAAACGAGTCTAATGCAAACCTTCATTTGGACTGAAATTTCAAAATCCCCAGTACCTTGGAAGAGTGCAACCAGAAAGCACTCTGAGGCCCATTTGAATTAGATGATTTCAAAGAAAAAAACATGTGGATTTGAAAATAAGGTTAGATTATTTTTTAATATTAAAAAGACAACAGAAAAACTAGCAAAGTATTATTGTGCACCTACGTCACTTGGCTCGTGCATGGAATGTATTTGAGATAACTACATGTACATACAATGAGTCATTTGAAATCCATATGTTCTTTTTATGAACTAAATTCCGAAATTTGAAACCAGTCCTCCCAAATGGCCACTAAATCAAATCCCTCCTTCCTTAGAGAAAGATATGGCAATTCATGAAGGTACACAAGAAAATAACATACTTGAAACAATTTCTTGTACAGTTAGAACAATCTCTCTCTGGAAACCATGTGCTCTCTCATTTCTAAATCAAGTCTCCTCTCATTTAACAAACTGTAGCATTGCAGTACTACCAGAAAACAAAAAAATTTGACCAGAAATGATTCATAACTATTCATGGTTCCACAAGTTGAGCAGGGTAGGAAGGAAATAAGCAGAAACAAGTGACGATAGTTACCTTGAGAAGCTCATATATGTAGTAGCGTATGTCATAATCGGTCAGTGTGGGGTACAAAACTTTGAAATCGGTACTGTTCACAAACTCAAATATCAAGCTTGGAGTTTTTGAGTGCTGATCTCGGACAATGTCAAGAAGCTTGACGACATTTGGTCCCCCACAAAGGTTCTGGAGAATTTTTATCTCTCTCTTAATCTGCACAAAGACCAATAGAAAGATCAAATTCTGTTTTAAATGTTACAACAAATGATCCACACACATGACATAGTAAACAGTGGCGCCTTTATAATATCGTGTCGCTAATGCAGTTATGACAGAACACATACTAAAAAGGTGCAGAATGGGATCATTGGCAACTAAATCAAACAAAACACCAGAACCCAAAACCCTAATTTTCAAGAAAGCAATTATTTTACCTTCTTCTTCTTAACAGGCTTAAGGATCTTGATTATGCAGCGCTCATTCGTATTGACATTTATGCCTTCGAAGACCTCGCTGTATTTTCCCCTTCCTACTTTCCGTACAACTTCATAATCATCTTGATCACTGAAGAAAAGAAAACCCATTATAAAAGTAGTAATCTTTTTAAATAAAAACTACAAAAAGAGGGTCACAGGGTACCCATCATTACCACAGAGAGCACAGTAGATATACCATAAAGCCCTAATTTACAAAATCAACAGCTTACTCTACTGCAAACTTAAACTCAAAATCAAAATCAACAGCTTTGGAATGAAAGGTCCCAAATTGGATTAAAAATTTAAGGAAATCAACAAATTGAATTGACAGAGAGAGAAGAAGAAGAAGAAGAAGAAGAAGAAGAAGAAGAAGATGATGATGATGATGATGATGAATGTAAAAATGGTTACCCCCATTGAACGGTGAGGGACTCGTAGTCCCAGTACTCTTTAGGGCGGATGACATTGACGTCAGCGTAGACACGAGCTTTGGACATGGCTGCTCCTCCGAGATTATCAGAAGCCGAGATCTGATGAGTGGCTTTGGCGGTAGGGGGAGCCTGTGTCTCTTGAGGAGGGCAGGGGGAGTGGGTGCGCACGATAGGAGGGTGCGCGACAGGCGCACGCAAGGCAACAAGGGTGCACACTAGCAGGAAGCGAAGAGGTATTGCTGGATTGGGCGCATATATCATGTGCTATAGACTATAGTTACCGCGACGACGACACCATTAACGTCAAACGACGCCCAACAAAAAACCTGCGTTTTGGGTTCGTTGGTACTTTGCCTTTTCCCGATTAAATATCGCTGGCGGGGAGTTTTGCTTGCCTGTAGTTGTTGCAACATAATATTTTGGGTCTGAGCTGAGAATATGATTATGTGTCGACCGGTGAGTGGCCATTCTTAATGATTTTTTCTTAATTTATTATGTTGAAAGAAATCCAACGGTTGATCTATCATAATTCCAACTCATTACCCTACCGGCGTACTGCCATCTCATTACTATATCCTAATTCCAACTTGGCTGTATCCTAATTCAACTTATTACCCTACCGGCTACCCTCATGACAAAAAATGCTTTCAATTATTCTGGAATTTTTTGTTCTCCACAATCCTTCTTCCTAAACACTACTTTTTTTTATGTAGATTCACCAAATCCCTCGGTTTTTCAATTATCTCACATATGATAAGACTTCTAAAAAAAAAAATTCGGAATAAAATTTTAAAGCATTTTTGGAATAGGAAACGGAAAAAAAAAAGTATTCCAAAACATTTTCCTTCTTGTATTTTATTGTTTTTCATGCAGGATCAACACTTGGTGGGTTGGAAAAGAACAAAAAAACACAGGTTGGAAGTACACATCGTGCTCCAGTTGCAATAATGTGCTCTAATCACATACTTTGTGGCTAGGAGCAAGTCGAACCCCGAGCGGGGATTAATCCCACCCTTCAGGTGCACCTCGTGGTATTTACCAAAAAAAGTGAACATAATTAAAAATACTTTAATTTAAACTATTACATATTTATATTACATTAGTGTTGTTAGATAGCACAATCACATACTGTTCCATGCAAGTATTTCCTCTTTAGAACTGAGAAACTAGGGGAAAAAAAGTTGAGGAAACTAAAAAGAATGCTTTGTGGCTTGTGTTGGGATCGGAATATTGAATAGTTCATCTTCACACAGTGACAGCTTTAGGTTGGGTTTGCTCAAAATCGAAAACTTCAAACATGAGGCGCCTTACATCTGGTTTCCCATATATGGTGTATGAGAGGCCATGAATGGCTTGTTGAACAGCAGTTGTGGCTGGATTCCTTAATCTTCGGTTGTGCTCATATGCATCCTGAACCTGGTCGGAATAGATGATAAACTGATGCAGACGCTTCTCCCTCAAATACCTCCCGCAGAATTTGTTCATAAGAACACGGCGATGTCTCTCCGCTAGCCACTTTCCAGGAGCATCTAAATGTTTCATCAGCAACCTTTCAGCCATCACAAGGTCCTAAACAAGATGTAAACACAAAACCACAGAACTGTCAACTAATATACGTGGGGAAAGAGAAATATCGGGTCTCCTACACAATTGACAAATGAAATTGCATTGATGCACTGTTACCTGGATCTTTTGGCCAACATATTCTAACCGCTCGTAACAAAATCGAGGATGCTCAAATTTATGCTTCGATGGATGCAAGAAAGAAAGCTGTATGTAAATAAGAAATCAAACAATACATCAAGATGCAGGGCCTGAACAGATTGTAATCATTAACAAACATAATTTATCCACAAACTTTTTCTTTTGGTGGTTCTAAACATTTGGGAACAGGCTGATCCGCACTGTTGTAACCTAGTGAACTTTGAGTGCAAACAAAAGCAAATGCTAGCTAGATATCAGGCGAAACATGGCAGAACATGTTGCCTAGTGAAGAACAAATGCTTCAAGGTCCATGCTCGACCAGACAATATGATATAAAGGTTATAGAGATAAGATTACACTCTACTGAAAAATGCACATTTAGAGATGAAGGGCAGCAAATGAAACACCTGTAGCCCAAGTCCAAGTTCAATGTTCCTTGCTGCAGTAATGTCTGGAATTCTATCAGTCATTGCTAAGGGATATCCCAATGCCCGCATGACTTGAGGTCTGCTCTCATAATCCCATATATTTCCTCTGAACCGATGCATACCTGGTGGAACACAAGCCCTGAAGAGCCTTGGATGTGCAAAAAGAGCATCTTCTGGGGGCTGTAGAGGGGGAAAACATATTATTTGCAGGAACCTTCCAGCATTGAAAAGACAAATAAACATAACTATTTACTTAACACATGGGAACCAAATTGAAGTACGGGCAACTTAAATAGTCACTCTAATACACATGACATGAATAATTTATCTGAAAAGTCACTGCACTTCAATTAATCTAAAATTGCTGCAAAGCATGTCCAAGACTAGAAGATCAACAATGACTTTAACATATGATCATAAACAAACCTCAACAGTCAGCTTAAAACAAGTGCCTTGTGATAAGCCTTTAACAATCTAGTCTTATATTAAGTACCCTCATGGTTTTACAAAGTGCATGCAAAATATCTGACCACCTGAAAATCCCAGATGGTTTGGAGTGTTTATATGTTTTGTTTTTATGGATAAACAACAATAAAATTGAACAGAAAAGAAAACATTATAGAGCTTGCCTTGTATCCTGCAACATCTTGCCAGCTGAGTTTTTTGCCTTCAAATTCAACGGAAACATAATCAACATCTTCAAGTTGTCTCCGTAATTTTGGCTGGCAATCCTCAGCTTCTGGGTCCATTCCAAATACTTCAAAAAGAACACGATATACTTCGGGCATCCCGAAACACAAATATATAGCTCCAAACAACGCCCAGAATACAGACCTGCCCAAAAGACACAAAATTTTTGAAGCCCAAATGATTAGCAACTATGAAATTTCAAGCTGCAAAAGAACCCCATTCAATTGCATGAATTAAAAAAAACAAAAACAAAATCTGTTATGTATTGCCAAAGAAACTAGATCTTTTTATGGAAGGTGACATCCAAAAGTTAATTGAGCAGCAAGAGATAATTTATGCTATTAAATTATGATATAAATTATTTATAAGAACTTACAGCTTTATTTTTCATGAAAAATCAGCTAGTATGTTGGAATTAGGTAACAAAGATTTAGAATACACCCTAAATTGAGGCTAGGAAAGGGCCAAACAGTTATCATGTCTTCAAGTGCCATTCTTAACCCAAATAATGATTTTTTTTCCGTATTAGTTAGGTATATAACTTTGATAATAGAGGAATGTCAAAAGCAAAGAGAAATTTGTAACCAAATAAGCCAGCCCCAAACCCTACATCTCCATTCTATTCCTTTGGGAAGAATTTTCAAGATATAAGATTATAAATGCTATATGATCAATCACCAACATAGATGGTGATCAGTATAACCTAATCCCCACATATGCATCAGACATCAAGACAAGAAGAATTCTTATCATATGCATGCACTCCAAGTCACAAGAAACAGATGTATAGTTAAAAAGAACTGATGGCTATATCTAGTGATATAAACTCCCATTTCCATGGTAAGATTGCAATTATATCCTTTACATTGTTTTGATATCTAACTAAAGTTCTGCACTTCAATACAAGTTATATTCTCAAGGATCCAAGGCAATGCAATAAAACATTTTTTGGATAGGAACTAAGGAAAGATAATTAAAATAAGAAAAGAAAAAAGACCATTGAACTTACTTCACAGGCGGCTCTCGGTCCTTCCTCTGCAACTTGTCCATATCATCAAAAGGAAATACCAGGTTCTGCAAGCTAGCTGCTTTAATCCACCTGGGCAAGTTCCTCTTCCCAATCAACCCAAACACTCTCTCTCTCATTGGACCAGGAGCCTCCCTCGGATACCTCTGCAGAAAAAACTCAGCCAAACCCAATTCAAGCACATACTGCCCCAAAAACCACAGCCTCGAATGCGCAGACCGCACATGCCGCGCATTGGTCCTCTCACACGAGGGATGCTGAAAAGCCATGTACAACAAAGTATCGAATTGCTTTGCTGGGTTATCGTCCCCGAACCTATCAGAAGGCTCAAGTGGGTACCCAAGCGCTTGCTTGGCCTCAAGCATGTACTCTTCTATCCAAGCCTTATCGGCATTGTTTAGCCGCGAAGAGGGCAAGCAAGAACTGAGTAAAGGAAAGGACTTTAGCGATAATTGTGGGCTATTGAGAAACCTCTGTGCTAGTCTCTTGTCATCCAACGGTGGCCTGAGTATGAACCTCTTCGGAGGTACCTTCTTCTTCGGAGAAGTGGCTCGTTTGCGCTCAGAGAGCTCTTTGAGGAGCCTTTGGGGGCTGTTTTTGGGGAGCTCTTGTTGTGGGTCTACGGCAACAGCAAGAACATGGAAATTACGCGAGTTTGGGAATGAGAATTTGGGGGTTTTAAGTCGAATTTGAGTTGGGAATTGTGAAAATGAGGATGAGAAAGAGTAGTTGTTGTAAGTGGAGGGGTTTGAGACTTGTATGAAGGAAGAAGAAAGGTCCATGAGTGATGTGGGTTTTTTGTGTGAAAGCTGAAGAGGTGATGTGCATTAAGAGGTTGGGTTATTAGAAGAAATGGGGTGTGTGGGTTTGATAACGAATTTGGTCCGCCATTGATGGAGGGTTTCTGTGCGGTTTTTGCAGGGTTTTGGGAAATTGGAAGTTGGATAAGGTGGAGAAGGCGTGGCGCGAGTGTGAGCTTCTGTTTGCTACTGCTCGTCGTTAGATATTTTTGTTGATGGTCTGGTGAAGACATTTTGGCTGGTGAAAAGTGTCGTATAGCTATTTTCAGTGTCGTCTGTACCAAGTTCGATGATAATGGGCAGCAGTGCTTCGTTATGACTTATGACCGGTAATTAATTAGGGTAGGAGCGGTCCGTTTTGATTTGGTTTAGGCCTCAAATTACAAATTATACATGGAATCAAGGTAACATTACAGTTAAATTGGTTTGGTTTAGGTCACAAACTAATAGCATAACCGAACCATGAAGTGTTCAATTCTTAGTGAATTCCAGAAAAGAAACTTGTTCTCTTGATTAAAAGCCTTAAACTAAGTATTCTCGGAGAAGCTTGTGATTTTGTTTTTGATGCAAAAAGTAGGGGAAACCAATTCTTAATTGTTAGTTTTAAAAAAATAAGGCTTGTTGTCATTATGTTAATAAAAGAATCTTCAACAGCCTCTTCAACCTCAGTTATCAAAGCTGCAACCTCTTTCTCTCTCCTTAGGACTGGTAAGTTGACTTTAGCTCTTCAAACAATTAATTTTACTTTGGAAAAACTAAACCTACATTGAAAATGTTAAAAACATGCTCTCTTTTTTTTCTTCTTCTTTTCATATAATAAATACATAGACATTTTTCACATGTTTTCATATTTTTCATTCTTTTCCATGATATTGCATTAATTGAATTGAAGAGTCTATCAGAGCAAAAATTATTCAAGTAGCAAATAAGAACATCTCCAATAGACTCTTCAACAACTTTGGAATTCTAAAATAGGTGAGCCACATCAAAAAAACTCTCTCTCCAACAATCTCTTCAATCTCAGTCATCAAAGCTGCAACATCTTTCTCTCTCTTCAGGACTGGTAAGTTGACCTTGGCTCTTCAAACATTTAATTTTACTTTGGAAAAACAAAACCAACCTTGAAAATATTAAAAACATGCATTGTTTTCTTTTCATATAATAAATATATAGACATTTTTCACATGTTTTCATATTTTTCATTCTTTTCTATGATATTGCATTAATTGAATTGAAGAGTCTATTGGAGCATTCAAGTAGCAAATAAGAACATCTTTAATAGCCTCTTTAACAACTTTGGAATTCTAAAATAGGTGAGCCACATTGTTGGCTTTGCAAATCTCACGGCTTGGTGCTCCAGGCCGAGGGGATTTGCGTCAACACAAGTCGTCCTTCTCTGGTGTGGTGCGGTTGTGCGCGGGCGTGCCAGCACGGTTTACAGTGCGTTTAAGGATGATGCGATTGGGTGAATAAATGAGTTATGCGCCTGTTTGAGTCTGACTTCTAATCAGAGCGATTGTGGCCGAGAGAGAAACTGATCTTGGCCGTCAGGTTCACGGCCTGAGCTACAAGGCCGTTAATGATGATGTTTGATGGTGGGTTTTTAGGTGGTGCTCTGGCGCGTTGCTGGGTGGCAACGGTCGTATGATATATGAGATGACTGAAAGAGTAACAAATATGGTGCTTCGGCGCCTTGAAAATCAAGGGTCGTATGATATATTGATGAATGGATTTTCCTACAAACTGTCACTACTCCTAGGAAAGCTAGTAAAAGTATTGAAAATGCATTACAAGAGGATAAATGATAGGAAGTAAATGACAGGAAAATATAATCTGCTCCGTGGGAGGCTTGTGTTTGGTGTTGAACCCTTTAAACGTAGTTGGAGCCTGGTATTTATAGGAGAAGTCCTGAAGAGACAGCAAGGCTGAAAATCTGCATGATGAGGTTGATCAGAGCTAGTGGGTAGTCGAGTCGACATTTGGGAATGTGAAGTATGGTGGTGTGACCCCCATAAATCCCGGCCGCCGCCCTGATGGTGGGTTCTGCATCTCGGGCCTCGAAGGAGCATTTAATGCCCTGGTCTGATGGTTGGTGACTTAATCCTACAAATTGTAAGATTTTCGCACCTAATCGCCCTGATTTTGCTCGTTATATCCTGACTTCAGTCACTTCCTCTCTTCTCTTGCACATTAAATGCTCTTACGTGACATGGGTCTTCTGCTGTAGTCAGAGGCGTTACTTTATTAAATGAAGTGTGGGACCTTGACGCCACGTGGCGACGCCACGTGGCGACGCCACTTGACTTTCCTATCTTGGCCGTGTATCTGAGAAGCTATCACTCCCTTCGTCCTCAGCCGGCCTCACTGAGGCCGTGCTGGCTTTGCCTTCATAGCTCACTTTTGTCTTTAACGAAAGAAAGCGAACAACGACTTGCCACGTTCGGCCGTGGGTAGGCGCTAGGGCCGAGAGGAAGTTCCCTTAGTCAACTTCATCGGCCAAGATTTATTAGGCACAAACACACATCAGAAAAACTCTCTTCAACCTTAGTCATCAAAGGTGCAACCTTTTTCTCTCTCTTTAGGACTGGTAAGTTAACTTTGGCTCTTCAAACATTTAATTTTACTTTGGAAAAACAAAACCTATCTTGAAAAATGATAAAAACATGCATTTTTTTCTTTTCATATAATAAATACATAGACATTTTTCACATGTTTTCATATTTTTCATTCTTTTTCATGATATTGCATTAATTAAATTGAAGAGTCTATTGGAGCAAAAATTATTCAATTAGCAGATAAGGCTTTTCAAATTGCCATGTAGGTCAACAAACTTCAATTTGAAGAGTTTTATTTGCTACTACTATTGGAGATGCTCTAAGGTTTTTCAAATTGTCATGTAGGTCAACAAACTTCAATTTGAAGAATTTTATTTAGGGTACTGATTTTCCCACTTCCTTTTTATCCACTTACACTCCATTTTTCTAAACAAAAAGGAGTATAGGTGGATAAAAGTGGAGTGGGAAAATCATTTTCCTTTATTTACTACTAGTGTTGGAGATGCTCTAACACTACACTATTACCATAACCATATTTAAATAGGCTAGAAAACTAACTGCTACCTAAACAACATTAAAGGCTACATTGAGAAACAACAAGAGACCAACATAAGATAGCTTATACACTTAATTTAACTCCAACTACCACGTAATTAGGGATAAACCTAGATTAGTTCTGACCACTAAACATAGAGAAGTCTAGTTTATTCTCAATAGAACCCCTTAAGCTAGACTTCCTTTACTCCAATTAGAGTCCATGTATCTTGACAAGGATGTTCTTTTTCAATGGCTTGATGACTAGATCTGCTAGACTAGGCACACTTTCTTGAAATATTGACGTGCTCATTACTTTTGTAGTGGTCAATTTTGTGTTGGATTATGTGAGGGTCTCAATTGAAGTTTCGCACAAGGACTTCAAAATCTAAAGTAAGCCCTGTCAGGAATATGTAATTATGCAAATAAAAAAACGAAAGAAAAAAAAAGGCTTCAAATATAATATAAAAGTTCAAAACAGTAAAGGGAGCTTTTGATCGAATGTCCAAAGTAAATCAAGATGATGATGAGATGAATACTTTCAAATATTACTTTATAAAAGGGAATATATATATATATATATTGGGATGTGATTCCCTTACTTGGAATATAAAAACTTTTTTCTTTTTTATATGTTAAGCAAACAAAAGTTTACCATATGGAATAAAGGCATTTTATGATATTCCAAAGTGTTTTCCAAGTTCAACCAACCCATTGGTTGCTAATTGATCATGCTTCACATCATCCCTATTTTTACCTATATAAGTAACAAGCAGCATTGGATAGAAGACGTGTATTGAAGTGATGGGGACTGGGTGGTCCTCAAATGGTGAGGCCTCACAGTCACAGACACAGCCAACAAAATCAGTTAAGCACCATGCTCAGATGGTTTAATTTTGCGTACGTTTGTGTGTTAGTTACGTGGTATATACACAGATACATATTTATGCTTATGAAATGTGTGCTAAAATTCAGCTCCAAATCAAAATTTATGGGACTTCAATTTGATTTAAAGAATGGAAACTTGTAAGAGAACTTAGAAATCAACCATCTTGATTATGTCATTATCTTGTTGGATATTGTCAGCATTATCACTGTTATTGCATACGTATCTTGACCAGAAGTCCAACAAGTGCTTTCTGGTGTATGCAAAGGCTCTTGATATCACTTGGTCTGGAGACCCTCGTTACTGGCATTAGGTGCAAGAAACAAGGTACCAAAAACGTCAAGACATAACTTATGCTCAGTTTCTCGGTTTCTCCAGTCCTATTGAACATTTGAAACATATAACATATACAACAAATTTAAAATATATATCCAGATTTTTCTCCTACGCAGACATCCAAACGTTATCACCATGCGGACGCTATATATTTTCTACCGTTACTGGCATTAGGTGCAAGAAACAAGGTACCAAAAACGTCAAGACATAACTTATGCTCAGTTTATCGGTTTCTCCAGTCCTATTGAACATATGAAACAGATAACATATACAGCAAATTTAAAATATATATCCAGATTTTTCTCCTATGCAGACATCCAAACGTTATCACCATGCGGACGCTATATATTTTCTACTACCCCTCATTGTTTTCCTCTCTATTTACAATGGCGTCCGCACATTCGCATAAGAGAATAATTGTATGTCATACTAATGCTATCAGTAATCTTAGGTTTCATTGCAGTGATGGCCCCACTGAAGCTGCTGAACTGTTAAAGGTATGTTGGCTAGAAGTGCGTGGAAAACTTAAGACCACAAAGCTGTCACCAAGAATTCGGTATGAAATTGTATTTGTGGTCAAGCTGCAAGCTAAAGCTTATGGATGGGATCTTCCAGTGAATCTCAAACTCACTATCCCACACACTTCAGATAATCGATGGAGTAAAGTTAATTTGACGGATAAGGCAAGAGAGCAATGGATAGAGATTCCGGTTGGCAACTTTATTGCATCACCCGAAAAACCTGGGGACGTCGAGTTTTCATTGTACGAATATGATGGGAGATGGAAGAGCGGACTTGTTATCAAAGGTGTTGCCGTTTGGCCAAAGGACTAATAACTTGGCATATAAGCAGAGATAGATGATGTTCTGATAGGAAGAGCCTTCTGTTGAACCTTCTGTTCTATTGGCATTTCCTTCTTTATT